TGGGGAGGAACGGAACCAAGAGCAGAGCTTGCCTCGGAGCTTCGGAGCCTTCGCCTCGGTCCGAACCTAACCCATCTCGTTGAAAATTTCGCACAAATTTTATCTCTCACAGCAAAATACGCCATCGTTTTCTCTCTCTACATCTCCCCGCAATTCTGTTCGCCGATTCAAAACCCTAGAACAAAATTCCTACGTATTTGGAGATCGATGCTCATCGCCAGTTATCGGCACTCACAGAAATCCCATTTTTAACGTAAGTTGCCTTCTTTGTGCAATTTTTATTTCGTTTTTCGCATCGCAGACCCAATTTGTTTGCCCTTATTTCTTTAATTTTTTCATCATTTTCGTGTGTATAACTGAGTGTAGGATGGGATTGGGGTTCTTGGAGAAGGTATGCTCGGCGATGGCATACGTATGTAGAATGAAATAGGGGCGGTTTTGGGGTTCGAGTTGTGTGAAATGCTCATTTCCAGCTCTGCGTGGGTGCTGGTCATTTATTGTCTCACTTAATTGCTCTGCTGGGTGCCTTTTTTGAGCATGTTTTCGATCTTGAATGGCGACTTGCCTGAAAGTATTGTGCTCTGTTTGTCTATTTGATCTTGTTAGGAATGCCAGTAGTCTGTTTGCTTATGGGTGTCGTCAGGGGAAGCATCTTTAATTGTGAAACGGCAGTCCCAGTTTGGGGCGAACTTAGAGGTGCATTGTCTAACTAGTTTCTGAGAATTTTGAGTTTGCCGCACATACACAATTTTCAGACGTCTCACGGTAGTCTAGTTTAGGTAGATTTAAGGTCTGGGCTGTATTCTTATTTGCAACTTGAGCGAGGTCCCTTTTGTGCCTGTGCTTGGGCAACTGTAACTGCTGACAGATGGTGATGTTTTATTCATCGTTAATTGTCAGAACCCTTCTTCAAATTCTTTTATATTTCCACACACACACACATCCAATCCAAGTTCTTGTGTTGCCCATCAATGAGGATGTGATGCAGTTAAGAATTTGTGGGTGGAAAAGGAGGTTTTCCATTTTCAATTGGTGACCTCGTGCCTCATTATATCATTCTTTCCACAGTGAGGTTGGTATATCAAACATAATGTCCATTTGTTAGTGGATATTCGTTTTTTATTAGTATGTATTATTTGAGCTCCATTTAAGTGCTTCAGAGTGCTCCGAGTTCCGTAGGAGTGCCATGATATATCCTGGACCCTTGTTTTTACCCTTTCTGGGTTTGTTTTTCACCATTATCTATCATATCTTAGTGACTTTGTTGTATTGAAACGTTGGGTATAAAGGAGGTGGCCCTCCTATTGGGATTCAGTTGAATAATTTTTATGGTGGAGTCTACATGTTATTCTTCTTGAAGTGGGGTTTTTCAATGATTCCTAACATAATTTAACACAAACGATGACTGCTAGTTCATGGGACTTTGATAGATGAAGTCGCAATCTGGTGAACGGACCTTAAACAGGCCGCATATTTAATCACAATTTTTGGGGTTCAAGTCGACCCCAAATTTTCAGTAAAAATGGAACAGAAAAGCATTTATATTTCTTGGCACTGTGATAGAAGTTTCTGCTCTATATAGTTTGAATGTAGATGTTAAATTACAGTATACTGTAATGTTGTATGCACGTAAGCTTTTCTAACAGTAGATGACCAGCAGGCTGCAACACAAAATCTAGAGATTTACAGATGTACTTATATCATGTGATTATTTCAACTTTGGTATTTTATCCTGATTGAAAATGGAGAGTGTTTGAATTTTCTGATGAAAAGAAGCCCATAGATTGGAATGTAAATTCCAGGGGTTTCTAGTTGGATATTGTTATGTGGAATTTCTTGATATATAGGGACATTGGGCTTGTAAACCAACTTTGACGGTAGAATATGCAAATTATCTTAAGTTAAAAATGGAAAAGAAAATTCACATTGGTGATAACCATTACTATTTTATAGATGAACAAAATAACTGCATAATGGGAAGTGACATCCCGAAAGGAAGTTGAACGCAATTCGAAGTCAAATGTCCATGAGACTTAGGCTGGTAATTTTGTGCAGATGCTTATGTTGAAGCTTTGACATATAGCTTTTTTAACTCAAGAGTGTAGATAAGAATGTAGAGATATAAAAGAAATTCTACTGTTGCTCTATAGCTCCTTCATACTACCTCTAACTGTTTTTTTTCGTCTCTAGCACTAGCAGTGACACTCTTTACACTTGTTAATCGTCACATTTCTTATCTCTAGTAGATACCAAGAATTGTACAAATGTATTGAAGATTATCCTGCCCAACTCTTTTTGTTCTTCTCTAGAAGCAAAATTCTTTACAATTGTTAATCGTCACATACCTTATTTTTAGTAGGTCCCGGAAGTTGTTCATATGTATTCAACTTTTGATTCCTTTGATTCCTCTATGAATCTGCTGATGATGCCATCGAGCTAGTGTTGGTGTACTTGTTCTCTTCATTTTCTCTAAATGGTTGCTGTTATTTGCTCGAGTTCCTTCATAAACATCCTGTGTGTCTCTGTGTGATTGTGTTACTATATCTTTATTTAATGGTGTTAATAATTTGCACGTTTTTTTTATCCAGGAGCCTATCATTTGAAGAACTTGCCACAAGTTTGACGAGTACAAGGTTATTCTGTATATAACTCAAAGACACGAAGTTCAAGATTGTTTTTATTTTTTATTATAAAATAGTTTCGCCTAAGTTTATCACCAGAAGTTGGGTCTCAACCATCTATGCCTGGGAACGAATTTGGAGATAGGGTTCACAATTTCTTTGCGCAAGACAATTCTTCGCAAAGGCAGCATCAGTCACGTGTTCTGGAAGGTACCTGGCCTGTGCTAAACAGTGATTATTGGGTTGGCAGCCAGAGGCAGATTGATGTGCCGAACCCCAGCAGTAAAGATTACCTATCGCAAAATTCTGGTACGCTGTGGCAATGTTAAATTCAAAATATTTTTGAACGTCATTGATCTTATATTTACATATGTATGCATAATACACATGCTTTCTGATCTGAAACTGGCTTCTTTTTTATACTTGTGGTTGCATATGCAGAATTTGATAGAGGACAGGCCAGCTATCCTGTTCATGTGCCTCATGGCTTGAACTTTTCCCAATCAAATCTGAGACCTGATACTTCTAAAGCTCAGTACGTGGGCGACCAGCAGTATTCTAATGGTGTTGTGTATGGAAATCAGTTTCACCAGAATAGGCAGAATGAAGGCAACTTTCTGGCAGTGGATATGGCTTCTAATCAGCATCATCTAATATCTGGGAGAGGCTTATCTTTCGCGGAAGCACAACAAGGAAGCGGTCATGAACAAGAAAAAACTTCAGACAGATCAGATACCTCTATGGCTCATGTAAGTCTTGATCTATTTGGAGGTCAGCCGCAGATGAACCATCAGCAAGCAAGCATGTTGCAGGCATTACACCGTCAACAAACTGGCCTTAATGACATGCAGCAAATGCAACAACAAATCATGATGAGGAAAATGCAAGAGTTTCAAATGCAGCAGCAACTGAAGCAGCTTGGTTTAAGGCCTCAAGATCTTGTCAATCAGGTTCCAACCTTTACCAAACCGACATCTGGCAGCCAGCCGAATATGGTTAATGACAGTTCCAATTCTGACGCTTTACAGTATCCGTGGACAGCTGATTCTGGTACAAGTTGGCTGAATGGTCCTTCAGCCATGAAAGGGTCCCCCGTTGGATTTGTTTTTCCGCAAAACATGGCCCCAACACAACGTTTAATGGATTTTGTTCCTCAACAGGATGATCAGTCTCTTTATGGAGTACCTGTTTCCAGTTCAAAGGGATTGGCAGCAAACCAATATCCTCAGTTGGTGTCGAGTAGATCTTCTATGCCACAAGTGGAAGCCATTAGCAATTCTCTTCATGGTCGTCACCATAATTTTTTATCTAATCAAATTGGACATGCTTCAAGCCAATCATTAAATACTGGAATTGCTGATAGGGGACTCCAAATGCCAAAAAATGAACCGCAGCAGCGGTTTGCTGGAAGGAAGGAGCCACCTGCTCAGTTAGAGACCTCAAATGAAAAATCTACCCGGCAATTTTCTTCATCTCCGCGCGAAGCTGCCCTAGATCCTACCGAAGAGAAGATTTTGTATGGTTCGGATGATAATATATGGGCTGCCTTCGGGAAGAGCCCTAATATGAGTGGAGACACTACAGGCAATTTATTTGATAATGGTGGGCTATCAAATGGATTTCCGTCCATTCAAAGTGGTAGCTGGAGTGCTCTCATGCAGTCTGCAGTTGCAGAAACTTCTAGCAGCGATGTAGGCCTGCAAGAGGAGTGGAGCGGTTTGAACTTTCACAGTAATGATGGTGCTTCCGCAAATCAGCCCGCTTCGGTGCACAATGATTGTGTGAAGAAAGCATTTTTGCCTGAAGAGGATAAGCGAATACCTCCAACATTAAATTCTGGATCAGTTCGTTCTTCCGAGGATATAAACACTGGAAATGCATTGGGATCGAATCAACTTGCACACACGTTTCAACAGGAATCAGGAATAAGAGTGTCGACTGATGCATCTAAAAAATATACGCAGTCCTCGGATGAATTTAGCGAGTGGTCTAATCGCAACACCCAACAAAAATTATTTGCTGAAGGGAAGCAGGCTGGAACTTTTGTAGAACGAAATGGTTGGAATGAACAGGCAGTTGTACCACATGGGGGAGATGGAGTGAAAAATCAGGAAGCTCAATTGCCAGCAAAGTTACAGAACAACCGGTTGATGGTAATGCAAGATGTAAATGGAAGTTCGTCATGGAAGTCGAATACTCCTAGTTCTGCTATTGATTTCGGCCCTGTTAAAGTTGGAAACCACTTAGAAGATAAAGAGCTTCTGAGTTTAAATCATGCTTCTGCTTCATTAGCAAACTCATGCAACACGGGAATTGATGATGGAAACAGTTCATTTGTTCCTAATAATAGCTTGCTCAATCAGTGGAAGAATGCATATCCTCTAGGCAAATTCCAGGGGAGTGACCTTTTGGGAAGCAATCAGGGTATGGAGTCATCAAATAGAAGTAACAAAGATAAAGTTGGAAGACTGAACATGGAGAATTTCGCTGTGAAGGAGAATTCTAGTGACAGCCACCACTCAAACTTATCTCAACACGGCCTTAGAGAAGCGGGATTGTCTGATGCATGCGATTCAAGGTCTTTACCCCATGGGAAACAGAAATTAACGAATCAGCATGCTAGTAAAGTTTCTGTTCCTCGCAAGTTTCAGTATCATCCCATGGGAAATTTGGATGAGGATGTGGAACCTACTTTTGGGTTGAAGCAGCCTATGCAGCTCCAGCCCAGCTCCCTGCAGAATGCCCATTTTGGCCAGTCAATTCAGGTCTCGAGATATTCTTCTCTAACAGATGAGGTGATATATGGATTATACCAAATATCTTTGCAGAAGGAAGACATTTACTATGAACTCCATAATTAATAAATTGTTATATTGGCAGGGTGAGCATCCAAAAGACAATAAAAGGAGTATCAAAGAGCCTATCCGTGGTAGCTTTCCTGGTAGCGCCTCTAGCATATCTTTTCCCTTCAATCGGCCCCTTGATACAAACATGCTGAACAAAGCTTCTTCACCGAGGTACTTACAGTGTGTCATTTTTACCTATTTTGTAGTTTTTATCAAGTGTGACACCTTTTGAATTATTCCTGTTACATCCAGTCAAAATATGTTGGAGCTCCTTCACAAGGTGGATCAGTCGAGAAATGATGGCGGTGCGGCTCATTTAAGTTCTTCTGATTGCAATGTATCATCTCAGCCACCTGAACCGGAGAAGTCTGATGGGTCTGCTGGTTACATTCATCATTCTTCCAGTTCTAAAGGATTTGGATTACAACTTGGCCCGCCATCACAGCGTGTCAATGTTCCTGATCTTTCATTACCTTCTCAAAGTGCTCGGGATGTGGCCAATTCCTTGCATACTGGTCATGCTGGTGCAGAAATGAGAGACAAGATGATCCAAGCATCTTCAGTGCAACCTTCGCCATTTTCTAATGAAGGACCTCAGTATGAAAATCACAGATCTGCAGGTCCAGGCAATCTTGGGGATGAAAGCTACAAGGCGCCTGGAAATTATCAACAAGCACCCGACACTCCGTATGCAAGAAGTCAACTGCAAAACAGTCATAATCTTCCTTTATATGGTGGTATTGCTGGTGCTTCTGATATACAAGAAAGTGGTCAAGCTGCAACAGCGTCGACCAGGGATCAAATCCACAGTTCTCAGCATTTTGGTATGCCTGGCAATTCACAACAGGTGTTGCAGAACATTTGGAACAATATTCCTTCATCTCAACATTCTTTGGCCTCTCAGTACCCTAAGGCTCCTTCACACCTTTCAGCACCACACCAGCCCAATATTGTGGAGTCATGTCGTGCTGATCTGCGTGATAGGAAAGGGGATCATGTTTCATCTGGATTAAGTTCAATTTATGCGAACACTCAAGGTGAGGTTGATGAGGAAAAACATAGGTCAAAGGAAAGCTCTGGGCATGTGGGAAACATTGGTTCAACATCAAAAGGTGAAGAATCTCTGGGTAAAACATCCTCGAAGGATAATTTGGAAGAGTTTCCTGTTAATTCTGCTTCAACCCAGAAGGATATGGAAGCATTTGGTCGATCCCTGAAACCTAATGCCTTCTCTAATAAAAACTACGCCTTACTAGATCAAATGAGGGGCGTGAAGGATGAACAAACGGATCCAAGTATTAGGGTCTCTAAGAGGATGAAAGGTCCGGATAATCTTTTTGATGTTCATCAGTTTCATCCTGGAGCAGGACAGCAAAATGAAAATAATGTTGGAAATATGATGGGTTTAAGTACTGGAGTTTCATCTGAAGATTCAAGGATGTTCAGATTCACTTCATCTGATATGATGCAGAGGAACACTGCTCCACATGGAAATATTGCGCCACACGATATTGTGGTTGCTGGCCTGGATGCTTCTCATAATAACCATTCTGATTGTACTACTGTGAGGGCTGAGAATCATCAGGTTGCCCCACAGATGGCACCATCCTGGTTCAACCAATATGGGTACTTCAAAAATGGGGAGATGCTCCCTGTATATAATGCACATAATGTCAACTCTATAAGACCAGATGAGCCATCATCTACTGTTGTTAAGACTTCAAGCATTATGGATGCTCCTATTGTAGAGCAGAATAGTCCTGCTGCCCCAGTTGGTGCTTGTCAAGTTGGCAGCACTCTGAAATCTGCGCCCACATTGGTAACAGATGAGCATTTGTCTTCTGCCCCGTCGTTGCAACTGACAGTGACGGGTGAGCATAAGGTGATTTTAAGACCCCAAAAGCGCAAGACTGCTACTTCTGAACTTCATCCTTGGTCAAAGGAAATATCAGATGGGTCACAAAACTTTTTGGTTCTCAGGTAATTTTATCTGCCTGTTAATACATAAGGTTCAACGAACATATCACAGTCCTTTTTGACATAGGAACTGGAAGATGTATTATTCTCCTTCAACCCTTCGAGCATGATACCCGCAGAAAGCTTTATTTTACAGGGCATTGTTTTTGGTAAAACTAACTTCACTGCGTGGACATTAATAAATTGCTCTACCATGAATTCTAGCAGATAATCCTAATTCACAATTTATGTTATGGTGGTTTTCTTCATTTACTGACTCATTTTTTTATTACCACAAGTATAATGGTACTTGATTTATGGGATTTAGTAAGCATTTGCTGCATTTTTTTTATTTAATCTGCATAAAATTTACTGAATGCAGTGCGGCAGAAGGCGACTGGAGTATGGCAGCAAATCGCCTTGCTGAAAAGGTATGATTGGTTGGCTAGGTGTGTTCATCAACTTACTGATCATAGTTCTAAAGAATTAAAGGTATCCATCCATCTTTTCTCTAATGATAGGTTCGGGATGATGCCGAATTAAATGAAGATGGATCTCCATTGCTTAGATCAAAGAGAAGGCTTATTTTAACAACACAACTCATGCAGCAATTGTTTCGCCCTCCACCACCGAGTATTCTCTCTGCTGATTCTAGTTCTGCACATGAGAGTGTGACCTATGGTGCATCTAGAGTAGCATTAGGGGATGCATGCAGTGTTGCTTCATGCTCGAGTGATTTTGGTCGCCATGATTGCCTGGAGCGGTAGGAACTCGCTTGCACATACCTGAATTTATTGGCTCATGAAAATGCTTTTTAATTTCATAATTCTAGTCATTGTTTGTTTTCTGTAGTCTAACTAATGATCCTTCGTTTATGAACATCTTCTAGACACTCCGTGAAGTGCAAACTAAATGGCGATCCACGTTTTGCAAAAGTTATTGAAGAGTTGTTGGGAAAATCTAGGAAGCTAGAGGATGATTTCTTAAGGTACTTTTGTGCTCATTTGTCTTACTGGCTTTGGTGTGTGGATTTTTCTCTCTCTTTTTCGCCAGGTCTGTATCATATATGCAGTACTAGCCTATTAGGCAATTGAGAGAGAGGACATATAATTTACTGATTTGGAGTATGTCTGATGGCAACGTCTTCTAAGTATAATTACCAAAGCCTTGCTTTGGTTTTGCCTGATTGCCAATCATCTAGGCATCTTCCAAATTTGAAATAACCCTCATAGTATAATTTGCATAAAAGAAACTAATACCAAGTTAGTATTTATAGTTTTGAAGAATAGCTAAATCATTTTTTCATGTAACTTAGCTAAACCTCTTCGATGGCTTAAACAGCTCTAATCAATTTAAGATAGCAGTACAATGTTTATTTAGCTAAACTTGTTAATATGCATTAAATGCTTTGCTCTTCCATATTTTGTGAAATGTGTTGTATCGTGTCGAGTCGTTTGGTGTCCTGTTTGCTCTTGCTATTTTACTTTTGGACTATGATCAGAATTGTGGCCCCTTTAATGTATGGATATATATAATACTTGAATGGCAGACTCGACAAGAATGCATCAGTATTGGACTTGAGAGTCGAATGTCAAGACCTCGAGAAATTCTCAGTCATCAACCGATTTGCAAGGTTTCATGGGCGGACGCAAAATGACAATGCCGAGTCATCATTAGTATCTTCAACAGCAACTACTTCAAATCCTCATATGCAAAGATACGTACTTGCATTGCCCATGCCCACAAATCCACCTGATTGGGTACAATGCCTATCGTTATGAATATTGCTCTCTTTTTTTCTTTTTTTT